TGATACACTAATCACTATAATCATTGCTCATAGATGATCAGTTATATTGCCCATCTCTACTAATATTAACAGTAACAAAGAAACGTGTGTTTTGTAGATTGTTACATCATTTTGCGTATGTGTGTGTGTTATCACAATTATTTTGATGGCTGGGTACATTATTAATAAATAAAAATGGGCTTGTCGTCTAATCAAATACTGGGATTTGACTTTCACTTTTATACTGCACCAAAGTGAGGAGAACATTTTTGCAACAACAGGTTGAAAACAATCAATCCTAAGATGTATAGTAAACCAACAGCTATAAGTGAGTACTGTTCACTACCTGCTTTCCCTCTGTCTTTTCAGTTAAAAATTAAGGGTAGCTACACACAGATAGCCTTTGTGTAGTTTAGTGAGAAAATTAAAAAAAAACAATCTAACTGAAAAAAATAGGCCTGAATTAACCCTTTCTTATCTCCACCCATACATTTAGGCCATTTTCAGTAATACAAAAAATCCCTTCCATGGATGATACAGGGTTAAAGGAATGCCTTTTTTATGCTTTATTGTGGAAAGTAAAAGTTGTCAAAATGTACTTAGTCCACGAGTGTCTGAAAAACAGTTTTATAATGTCTGCACGTAACCAACAGGTTCTGGTTCTGGTTTAGATTCCTAAGTATTAAAATGTTTAGTTACTGTATAGTGTAATCTAGCTGCAATAAAGAAACACAATAATGTGTGCAGGTAACCAACAGGTTAGGGTTCAGGTTTAGATTCTTAAGTATTAAAATGTTTAGTTACTGTATAGTGTGATCTACCTGCAATAAAGACACACTGTTAGTCGTTTGTGATGTTATTGATAATTTTTTTATGTGTTATTGTGTTGTAATGATATGTGTGTGTGTGTGTGTGTGTGTGCTTTTAAATCATAGAGAACATTCTACATCCATACAGGTGGGGGGTCCAAAAAATGAAGTATTCATTGTTAAGTGAATATTTATCTGAAAATTAGGAATTATTCTTGATATTCACTTGACACAGAATATACAGAAGGCTGTTGTGGGTGTTTAAACCATTAGAACTAGTAGTTTTCAAGCATGTATGTATAGTCAGTTCACAGTAACTGCATGTTCTCTTCCTGTTATTACCCGTATGTGTATTCCACCCCACCTCACCTTGCTTGTTGCTGTGCATGATTGTCTACCCCAGTTGGTTATTGGCCGAGAAGAGACCTAACAATCACCTGTGGATTGGTCGTAGCTGTGAAAACCTCTCCCGGCGGCGGCTTTTGACGGAGCCTGGGCTGGAATCCTCCAATTTGTTTGGGCATGGTTCTCCTCTGCTTTCCTCACCTAGTCGGTCTCCACCATTTATAAGTCCTGATCAGCAGGGAGGAGACAGCTGTTTTGTGGACGAGCCTCCTCTCCAGAGTAAGTTTAGTTTTTACTATCATATAGCTTTAAGCTGTACTATTCTTTATAATACTAAAGAATTGAAAAACGAATTTCTACTTTGGAGAATAAATAAATGTTCTAATAAACAATTATTGACTGATAATAAGTGCAACAAAATAACCTGTTGGCTAAATTCACCAGTCAGTAATTGTTTTATTCTAACCCACCCTCTTCTGTGTTCAGTTTTACTAAAATCTGTCACTTAGTATAATTAGCCTTCATTCTTGAACCTAAATGATATATTGAGCCTACATAGTATATTTAGCCTACATCCTTGAGCCTACATAGTATATTTAGCCTACTTCCTTGAGCCTACGTAGTATATTTAGCCTACTTCCTTGAGCCTACGTAGTATATTTAGCCTACTTCCTTGAGCCTACGTAGTATATTTAGCCTACTTCCTTGAGCCTACGTAGTATATTTAGCCTACTTCCTTGAGCCTACACAGTATATTTAGCCTACATGCTTGAACATACACATTGTATTTAGGCTACATCTTTGAGCCTACATGTTATATATTGTGCCTACTTCCGTGAGCCTACATGTTATATATTGTGCCTACTTCCTTGAGCCTACATGTTATATATTGTGCCTACTTGATTAAGCCTACATGGTATATTAAGCCTATAACCAGCATAAATATGATATTAATGTGAGGAACTCTTGGCATAACAGATATTAATGTGACATTAAACTGAGGAACAGGTTTCATGTTATGACATAACAAGTATAAATAGGAAATTAAAATGAACAGTTTTTATCTTGTGACGTAACCAATATTAGTATGATATTAAGTTGAGAATCGGTTTTCATCTCGTGACAAAACCTGTATAAATATGACATTAAAGTGAGGAACAGTGTTCATGTTATGACATAATCAGTATAAATAGGAAATTAAAATTAACAGTTTTTATCTTGTGACGTAACCAATATTAGAATGATATTAAATTGAGAATCGGTTTTCTTTTCGTGATATAACCAGTAAAAATATGACATTATAGTGAGGAACAGTTTTAATATCATGACATAACCAGTATAAATATGACATTATAATGAGGAATAGTTTTAATATCATGACATAACCAGTATATATATATATATAACATTATGGTGAGGAACAGTTTTAATATCATGACATAACCAGTGTAAATATGACATTATAGTGAGGAACAGTTTTAGTATCATGACATAACCAGTGTAAATATGACATTATAGTGAGGAACAGTTTTAATATCATGACATAACCAGTATAAATATGACATTATAGTGAGGAACAGTTTCATCTAATTTCTGAAGTAGGTTTAACTTCTATCTCTCCATTGAAACTGTTTACTATAATCTTTTTGTTTACAGCACCCGTTCCTACTCCAAGATCGCCACTGAAACAAGGGATGATTCACCAGATTCATCATAGGTATGCTACAGCATTTGCTGAAGGAACTTTTTAGTAAAGTTTTTGTATTTTCTGTATTTCACATACTTTAGAATCTGAAATCCAAACTTTGTTTAATAAAAACAAAAAAACCTTTTACATTACTGTTGAGGAAGGTTTTGTTAAATGTATGTATACAGTTCAACAAGTGTATAGTTTTGTGTTTTTAATTAGTTTGTATACAGTTTCAGCAAGTGTATAGTTTTGTGTTTTTAATTAGTTTGTATACAGTTTCAGCAAGTGTATAGTTTTATGTTTTTAATTAGTATGTATACAGTTTCAGCAAGTATATAGTTTTATGTTTTTAATTAGTATGTATGTATACAGTTTCAGCAAGTGTATAGTTTTATGTTTTTAATTAGTATGTATGTATACAGTTTCAAGAGGCATGCTATTCACTCTCCACACCCAGCCCTGAGCATTAAAGAAAGCCTTGAATATAACTCTACTTTGCTTCATACACTATCACTCTTATTATTTTTTGTACCACTGAATGTAGGCTGCAAGTGAACATGTTCCTTTCACCAGATATGGAATCTGTTTCTTTGTAAAAGAAAATTACCTGGTAATATAACACCAGAAAAAAAGTGTCTTACTTGCAATCTGAACACTTGTAGCCCCACATCATAGGTTTTTCACAGAAATCACATGTAGTAAGCTTTATTCTTTGGATGAATCTGGAAATACACAAGTACAATCAGTTTCACTCAAGGGTGATCCAAAACATGGTTATGGTGGAGAAAAAATTGAAAACAAATTTTAAAAATTTGGTCCAGATAATTAAAAACATAAAACTATACACTTGCTGAAACTGTATACATACTAATTAAAAACATAAAACTATACACTTGAACTGCGAATCAAGGGGCTTAAGTCCCATTGCCTCAAAAAGTGCTCTGCACTTTGGGACTATTGGTGTGCTGTCAAATCCTGTTATGCATATAGGCCTTTTGTAGCTTTTCCCCAAACATTCTAAAAGAAATCCCAAATGAAGAAAGTCTTCAAAGATAATCTCATTATTAGTATTGATCAAAATATGTTACATATATGGCATAATTATTTTTATCATTCATTTATTATATGTATGTTTAGTTATGTAAGAGGATTATTTTGTATTGTCAGCTAAGTATATAGATGTAGAACTAACATAGATATCCTAAGCTGGCCAAATCTTGTGAAATGTTAATGGGGTCAGGTCAGATATATTGCTAACAGCAAGATTATCCAACTGATAAACCAATGGATTCCAGTTATTACAAGTTTTTGTTTTATGACATTCTATTTACTAGGTTCATATTTAGTTCAGTTCCAGGTTGGTAGCTTGCTCTGCTCAGAAATTATTGATAATTATGACATGTTTTTCAATCCTTTTGTCATTTGTTCCAATGTCAATGGAATTAAGTTTACCTCTGCTTCAACTTTTGGGATCCACTTATTTTCTACAATCTTGCATTAAGATTAGGTTCTAAACAAAAGTGGTAATAGAATAATAGTAAAGAAGTTTGTGTTTTTATAAATGATCACTTGTTGTTTGACTAATTGAAAAATGGAAGTTTATTTTATCAATATTCGTGTTATAAGGACTCTGAAAACAATTTAAGTATATTTTATGTTTCTTTCAGTATCTGTATCACATATATTGTAGAGGAAAAGCCATGTTATAATTTGGTTTATGTTCTAGGTATTATTGTCACAAGGACTGTAAAGAAAGTGCTTTGTCATAATTTGAATCATGTTTCAGGTATTGTCATAAGACTTTCTGTACAGTTCTTGTGACAACAATATCTGGAATATAAATCAAGTCATAAGACTTTCTATACAGTGCTTGTGACAATAATACCTGAAACATGATCCAATTTATAACAAAGCACTTTCTTTATAGTCCTTGTGACAATAATACCTGGAACATGAATCAAGTCATTATACTTTCTATACAGTTCTTGTGACAACTTTGATTTATCTTCCAGGTATTGTTGTCACAAGAACTGTACAGAAAGTCTTATGACTTGATTTATATTCCAGATATTGTTGTCACAAGGACTATAAAGAAAGTGCTTTGTCATAATTTGAATCATGTTTCAGGTATTATTGTCACAAGGACTGTATAGAAAGTCTTATGACTTGATTTATGTTCCAGGTATTGTTGTCACAAGGACTGTAAAGAAAAAGTGCCTCCTTCCTGTGGCTTACCAAATGAGTATGTTAGATATTTTGCTGAAACTTTCAAAAATGAAGGTGAGATTTTTCTTGCACTGTAATATTATTAATATATGTGTTCCAGAGTATTCTTAAGGTGAGATTTACAGTTTATGTAATGTTGTTAATTTCTGAATGAAATAGAGAATCATCTAAGAAACTTACTATGTAGGGTATTAGGTTCAACATACAGTGTATTATATTCCTTTAACTTTGCCAGACCTTTTGTATTTGTGATCTTCAATAAGAGTATGTTCCCCATACTCTTCATTGTTGCCATTCATTGTTTACACAATAAGGTAGTAATTTTCTTGTTTTCTTATAGAAAATTTTATTTTATTTATAATGTTTCTTCTTTTTTTTTTTTTCATTACTAGCTCTTCTGTACTGAATTACTGTACAGTTTTTGTTGGTGTTTTACAGTTAGAGACAATGATAACACCTTATCTTGAACATAAAGTAACATAACTCCTTACAAAAAAGAAATCACAATTTCATTGAGTATTAATGATTGTTTAAACTTTTCACTGAATGATTCACTAAAGAAACATTTGTAAAGTTCTTCAAGCAAGTACAAGGGTAACTTGGGGCTCGAGTTAGGCAATCTGGTGTTTAGCCAATGACCATCATGGGTTATCTGCATCTTTTGTTGTTCAGCCACTTGATATTGAGAAAAATTGTAAACAATGGTCAAACTTATTTAAGAACAAAAAAAAGCTGGCTGCAAGCACAAAACTTGTGGAAAAAAAAGACTATGATAAACAGTCGATAAGCCTTTTTCAGTAACTTGTACACATAATTCATGCAAATCTTTCAATGGGATTCCCAAAACTTAAAATAGCAATTAAAAACCTCTGAGTTGTGAAGTGAAAAAAAATATATATTCAAAAGAACTGAAACACTACTTGTCAACAAAGTTTAAAATTCAATAGAATAGTAAAATGAAAAGACAAGTATTTTTTCAAAATTGATATCAGCAGTCTAATTATATCTGCTAATGGTATGCAACTCATGAATTGTTGACACTTTTCTGAGTATCTCTGAAAGTAACTGATAAACATTTGCTAGTGCTCAAAAATAGTTTCAAGCCCTGTAACTGATGAGTTCAATGTGGTTTGCACAGACTTTGAATTTGACGAGAACCTCCTTGAAATTCATTAAAGGGGTATCAAACAATTCAAAAGTTTTAAATTTAAAAACAAATTGTCTTTGCCTTTGCCAGCAAACCCTGCTAGTGTGATGACACCAGTTGTTATATCGATAATACAAAACATGCATGAACTCTGCTATTAAAAGAAGATTTAGAATGTGGTTTTCTTTATCACATGTAGTTATATATGGTAAACATATATAATCATGGAACCACTCGTTGAAAAATTGAAAAAACTCTTGGAAACATTTTCAGTTATCTGTATGAACCATGTTCAGTATAATAGAAAGATACCTCTTGTTGAGTTTCCTTGTGCTTGAATTTGACATGGTTTGAAACATATTCTAAACCTAAATCATAAGTAACTATGCTATATTCTGGAATACATAATTCACTAAAATTCAGAGGAGCTGGGTGAAACCTGACAAGTCTTACTCAATTTTAAAATAGTTTGAAAGCTTTCTAAACAAACTGTTTGATTAAATAAATTGGAATAGGATGTAAGTAATGTGTGTTTAGATTTAGAAGAAAAGATTGAAACCTAGGACTAAACATTTATATCTCTTACATTACTTTACATTTTGATTTTGATTCTTTTGAAGTGCCTTTGCAACAAAAAAACATTTTACTTTTTCTCCATTCACATAACCTTGTAATATTTTTAAAAGGATAAATAAAGAGTGTTGTTTAAGTGGAATGCAGTTACAAGAATAAATTATTAGTTGCTGCATTAACAAACAAATAGAATAATTCTGCTAAGCTTGCTGACTTCATGCTTTGCTGCTCTGTGTTTTGTACATTGGTGATTATTTTTCACATTGCTCTATAGGTATATAATTATATATGGCTTCAGAATCGAATTACAAAATTATTCTTTATAACACCTTACAGTTTAAAGCACTTCCTTTCAGTATAGATACTTGTGACATTTTTAGAGTCTGTATTTGTCTTGTGGGTTGTGGGATTAGAAAAACCTGTATAAGTACCTGTAAGTTTCTGATCTTATACTTGAATATGCACCAAAAGAAGAAGAGAAATTAAAATAAATATTTGAGTATCTTTTCAAAATAAAAATAACTGGGTAGATGCTATGGAGTTTAAAGGAAGTAAAACAAGCTGTTGGGCCTTGGGTGTCATTTTACTGTATTCTGCCCATGGGTTTTTGCAGGGAATTATTCACCAATTCTCAACCAGGCCCATTTTCCTGGTGCACCTAATTTCATAAAGAGTGATAGTGGGCGGAAGAAGAAACGGTCTAGGCTGCACCCAAGTATCAACATTCCGGCATTTTCAGGCCCAGACTCCTCGTCAAACACGTCATCCTGCAACTCGTCCACGCCTTCTTCTCCTGCATTAATAATCACCTCAGCTCAGCAAACCCCACCCTCTGCATCAAGATTAGAGCAATTTCAGTTTCCAGGTACCTCAGCCCTGTCAAAGTTTATGTCTGCTTAATGTTTGTAGCTGTACTAGCTTCATGTTTCTTTTGTATCCCATGTGAATGTTATCTTCTTGCTATGTGGCTCAAGGTCTGGAGTGGTATAAAAATATACAAGTATTACACATATTCTTCATGTTTAGGTACAATCTAACTACTGGTAAACAATATGTATGTAAAATGTGCATGACTCACCATCAGACATTTATTTCTCCATGTTAATACATGATGTAACTACTGGTAAACAATAGATGTGTAATATGTGTATGACTCACCATTAGACATATTTTATTCTCCATATTAATACATGATGTAACTTCTGGTAAACAATAGATTTATAATATATGCATGACTCTCCATTAAACATATTTTATTTTCCATACTAGTACATTATGTACCTAATGGTAAACAGAAGATGTATAGTGTGTTAACTTTCATTATGAATAGTTAAATTAGCTGAAAGTTTTTTTTATGATTTCTGCCACTCTTAACTTTTTCTCCATCTACAACTACTTTTTAGCATTTCTCTGTGACATTATTTGACTTGTCTAAAGAATAATTATTTATATTACATGTTTTAATTTTCAGATCTAAATAATGTTCCACAGTCGGAAAAAGATGTTACCATTGAGCCCAAACCTATTGTGGAGGTAGTGGAAACACAGAAGTCAAATGACAGTGATAAAACAGTGTCAGGAACATCAGGCTCAGGAAGTGTAAGTCTGTAATAGGAATACAGAAGTCTTAACAGACAGTGATAAAACACTGACAGGAACAACAGACTCAGGAAATGTATGTCTGTTAAAGTGATAGGAATACAGAAATATAACTGATAATAAGAGAACAATGTGAAGAACATGAAGCTTAGGGAATTCAAGTTTGTATAAGTACCAGTTTAATTATTTCAATGAAGTAGTTTACAGAAGTATAATGGATAATAAGAGAACAGTGTGAGGAACATCAAGCTGAGGGATTTCAAGTTTGTATAAGTACCAGAAGGGTAGCAGTTTAATTAGTTCATTGAAGTAGTTTACAGAAGTATAATGGATAATAAGAGAACAGTGTGAGGAACATCAAGCTGAGGGATTTCAAGTTTGTATAAGTACCAGAAGAGTAGCAGTTTAATTATTTCAATGAAGTAGTATTGACACAAAAGAGTTAGCATATAGATATTTGTAGGAATTACAGAAACACAAGTGTAATAACAGTTACGAAACAGTGTGAGAAATTTTAATGTTAGGAAATAGAGGTGTATATAAAAAAAACAGGAAGACAAATGTGGTGATATTGATAAAGCATTGTGATAAGTGTTAGGAAATAGAAATTTATATAAAAAACAGGAATAAATGTGTGGTGATATTGATAAATCATGAGAAATGTTAGGAAATAGAAGTTTATATAAAAAAACATTGAGAGAAAACTGAGTTGTGAATGTTCACCCATGGTTAATAGTTAATATGAGAGGGTGAATAATGTTGGCTAATATTATTTTAAATTGTAATTAAGTTTACTTACTGCTTCCTGGAGTTGGGTGTTTGTGTCATTTCTAGTTTCTACTCCACCAGACTGATTCTGAGAAGACACTAGCTGACCGAGTGGACTCCCAGGATAGCCAAGTTTCTGACATGGATCCCAATGAAAGATCATGGCCTCGACAGAATAGTGTATGTATTGTGAATTGGGTAGTAAATTTTCTATTCAGTGTTCACCATCAAATAACATAAGTATAATTAAATAAGTGGAACTGCAAGCATTAGTTCTCTGTTTTAAATAGAAGTATGTGTGCTATTGTTTTTTTGTACAATCTTTTCCTTGTTCAAATAAACACCATCTTCAAGGTTTCCAAGATTTCCTCTGCATACTTTTTACCATTAAAATGAAATATCTTTTCAAAGAAAAACATAGATTTTGTTGAAATGAAGAGAGAGAGATATTACCAAAAAAGATAACTATTTTCTAGTTTTCAATTTAAACAACAAAAGCTTGAGTGTGCTCCTGTTTCTCAAATACAAAATGTTTATCTGTGCTGAATTACTCATGATTTTATACCATGTAGACACTTATGTAGAAAGCAAAGATAATAATTTTTGAAGTATTCCTTTCAGTTTTATTTCAGTCAGTTTTTATTGTTGGTAAAAATTTATCCTAACATTATTTTTTAAAAAACATGTATAATTTTGTTCGTGTATTTTCCAGCTATCCTTAAGGGAATGGGATATCCCCTTTGACGAACTTCAGATAGAAGAGACGATTGGTGTAGGGAGGTTTGGTGTAGTTTACAAGTATGTCTTTTGGTTCAGTAAAAAAAATTATGATAAAATATTTTGGGTATTTTACAGTTTTTCTGAGTATTAGTGGGTAGGATTTGGCGTAATATATAATTAAATCTTGCACTTCAGGTTACACATTGTTTATTTCTTAAACTTTATAAAAATAGTTTAAAGGAAATTTAAAGATATTAAATATGGAAGTAAATGAGGAAATATATTCTTCAGAGAAAAATAAAATAATCGTATGTTTAGAAATTAAATTTTTTAGATTAATCTCAATACATTTCTGTATATTTCCATCATGATGTGAATAAAACAATAATATTTTATTTATTTGCATTATTTTGTGAACTGTACAGGTTTAAAGGTTCTTGCTGATTAAAGTTTGTAAAATCAGTCATTTCTTTGTGTCTTCACAGAGGAAACTGGCATGGTAGTGTCGCCATAAAAATGTTAAATATGGATGATATGGATGACAAGAAGACCCTGGAGACCTTCAAACAAGAAGTAAGTACTTTATAGATTGGTGTTTCACACGCAGAAAATGTTCAAAGGAGAATTACATGAATACATTAGATTTGTATTATGCACAGAAAATAACTTGGGAAGGATTGTGTTACTAAACAGTATCAGTAAATCAGATTGGTATACAGTAAAAATATCTCGGGAAGGATATTATTATTAAACAATATTAATAAATCAGATTGGTATTATACAGTGAAAATATCTTGGGAAGGATTGTGTTGTTAAACAGTATCAGTAAATCAATTTGGTATTATGCAGTGAAAAGAAGTTGGGAAGGATATTGTTACTAAACAGTATCAGTAAATCAGATTGGTATACAGTAAAAATATCTCTGGAATGATATTGTTATTAAACAATATCAGTAAATCACATTGGTATTATGCAGTGAAAAGAACTTGGGAAGGAATTGTTATTAAACAGTATCAGTAAATCAGGTTGGTATTATGCAGTGAAAAGAACTTGGGAAGGATTGTGTTATTAAACAGTATCAGTAAATCAGATTGATATTATGCAGTGAAAAGAACTTGGGAAGGATTGTGTTATTAAACAGTATCAGTAAATCAGATTGATATTATACAGTGAAAATAACTTGGGAAGGATTGTGTTATTAAACAGTATCAGTAAATCAGATTGATATTATACAGTGAAAATAACCTGGGAAGGATTGTGTTATTAAACAGTATCAGTAAATCAGATTGGTATTTTACACTAAGTAACATGGGAAGGATTGTGTTACTAAATGATATAAATAAATCAGATTGGTATTATACAGTGAAAATAACCTGGGAAGGACTGTGTTATTAACCCTACATATAGGGCTGGGTGGAATCCATCCAGCTCGTAATGACGAATATATCCATGATAGTAATTATACTCTAATTCTTTATAATGTACGTGTATCTTCACAAAAATGTTATTGGTAAATATTACAAGGCTTTTGTACACAAAATGTCAGGTTCTTGAATTTAGTATTAAGATTTTTTTATTAAAGATTTTCTTCTAAAATTTTTTTATTTAGAATTTTGACTATCCAACGTGTAAAATAATTTTGATTTCAAGATTATAAATACTTTTCTTTGTCTGAAAATTGTCAAGTTTTGTTTGCATACCTTCTACATCCTCCTAAATAACCATCAAACATTTTTTGAACATAATTTTGTATTTTATCAACCATAACTATATGGTGTTAGTCGATTTGACTGACGTCTTAACCATAAAAATGACCCTTTACTTTGTTCTAGAATGATTGCATGTTGTGACAGAAAACTACAAACATTTATTCTAAATAGCTTAATTCTCATAACAGTATACATCTATTTATATTTATTTAATTTTTTGTTTTATTGACCTTTGAACCATGTCTGACACAAGTTGAAAATTACACAACGTACATGCAGCTCACTTTACTGTATCGAAAAACTTAATGCATAAGCTGCTCGCTAGAATACCTTATGAAGACTTTTTGTATTTTTTCTTTCATTATCTTATCTAATAAGTTTCTATTTTTATGATTTTAGCTACTTTTATAATAATTGATAATGAAAACAATTGAAAAATAAATAACTGCATAATTAAATATCAAACACTTTTTTTCATCAAAACTTTGTTTTATTTGTTATTTCCTCTACAGTAACATACTTGATTCTCCAGGTTGTATAATGAAAATAAAGGTTACAATGTGCAAAATAAGATGTATAGTATGGTTAAATTGATTGTAAAATTTCAAAGAGTTTATACTTGTCACATTTTCACACTTATTTTCTGTAGTAATTTTATTGTAAGGAGCTGACTGAGAAACAAAATGAATAGTACTGTTTGTCTTTTATTGGCATGGATCACTGAATTTCAAAGTAAAATTCCTGAGAGTTTCTTCTAATCTTTTCACACCTATTTCCTATGTTTATCTACTGTTAGTGGCTGAAGTAGAAACATGCTGAATATAAAGCAAAGAATTGCTGTTCTTTACTTAGTTTGACACCGTTAATATCAAATAAATTCATGCTGCATAATTCCCAGAATTTTCTCTGCTTTGAAAAGAAAGTGGGGTAGGACTTATCAACATGTTGGCAGTGTAATGGTTTCAACGACAATTGTCTAAAGTAATATAAAATGTTTGTTATGGGCTGATCCCAAAAGTCAATAAGCGGATGTATTCTACTGAATCTATTTGAATCCTGGCTCCGAGAACATAGTGGGGTAGAATTTACTGGCTTTCTTACAGTTGCAACAAGAATTGTCTAAAGTACCTTATAAAAGTGAGAGAAAATATTTATGATATGGCTCTGTGCAAAGTTGTTTCTGATCCAATAAACTTGTTAAGTATTTGGATGCTTGTTATCTTCATGGGTGGTCGGGATTTAGTGTTGGTTTAGCCTTCTTGATTATAACTTTAGAAACAAATTATTCACCAGCGAACTGTAAGTTCAACAGGGTGTTTACAAAGTATTACCTGCAAGTAAGTAAACTTGGCTACCATATATTATGTATGTTTGTGTGTGTGTGTATATAATATATATTAATATTATTTTCAAATAAATACTTAAATGTCAGTTAATTTTCTTCAAACATAGAACAATAAATGAAAAATAATAATACTACTTACAATGCTACAAAGTCATTATTTGCATTCGTGAGCCATACTTGCTGAGCCTCATCCAAATTCACATGTGGAGATGGAAAAATAATTTTTGTAGACTTTATATAAGTATTTTGGAATAAAAAAAAAAGATAAATTACTATACCAATATCCCCAAATCCTCTGTAATTTATCAGGTTTCCTAACTAAATTGTATTTGGGTTTAAAAAAAATAATTTCTATTCACAAAATAGCCTTGATCGTAATAGTTCAAACTTTCCAATGATATACGATTTTCTCTCCTAAATAACTTAGGAAGAGTGACAGAATTATGTAGAAGAAATGTACAGCTTTCAATTGGTTATAAAGTTATTGGTATAAAAAAGCTGGCATAGATAAACAAGTCTTCTCAAATGATGAAATGGTGGGTGGAGCCAATATGGTGGACTCAATAAATATTATGATATCTCAGCAAATAGAAAAGTTGGGAGGTTCTTATTTTATATGATAGCTTGCCAAGATTGGAAATTTGAGTTTATAATTCATATTAAAATATAATGTTGTATTGCGGGTGTCATAAAATGTAATTTAACCAAAACCCAGAAGATCGTACCAGTGTGACTCATTTAAAATGGTTATTTAGCTATTTTTTTATATTTACTTTCAAATTAAGAAAATAACTAATGCATAATACTAAAATTTGAATTAAAATCTACAATTTGATACCAAGTTTATTGACATACATTAATAAAATAGTAGTTCTATAAAGTCTACAAACATGATTACATGCCCTCTGACCCCTAGCTACCAGTAACGATAGGGGTAAAATACATATCAATAATTCATTTAGAATGGTGATAATATAAGAAACAAATTTAGAAGTAAAAATTTACATCTTAATTTTCATGTCTGTAGAAAACTTTTCTGTTAAATTGATATTTAGTATTATAATGGAAAATGATCATTGGCAAATTGTACTAATTTTTCAGGAATATTGCCAAGTATTTAGTGTGCAAATAATGATGTTATTTCAATTGATAAGTGAACTATTAATTTCTAAGAAGTTCAAATTACACGGAGGGCTAGTAATTCAAAATTCTTAAGAAATGACATATAAATTAAGATGTGCAAAGTCAGAGAAATTTTGAAAAATGCAGACTAATAATTCTAAACTTAAATTTTTATGATATAAATTTGATATGAATTCATCAAATATTGTTTATTAAATGGATTAATAATGTCTTCAACTAATAATTCCTATTTTGAATCAATGTATAACAATACTTATACATAAAGATATTTTTTTGTGTTATGCTTCTTTAGGTGGCAAACTTCAGAAAGACAAGACATGAAAACCTAGTCCTTTTTATGGGGGCCTGTATGAAACCTCCACGTTTAGCTATAGTCACAAGGTTAGTGGTCAAAATCTGACAGTGACTTGACTAGATATAGCTAGTTATCATAAGCTGACATTTCCACAACTAGCTATAGTTTTTGGTCATTAGCTGATGTTTAAATATCTACCGATAGTTAGTGGTAAAAAGCAGACATTTACACGAATGACTGTAGTTAGTAGTAAAAAGCTAACGTTTACTTGACTAGCTCTAGTTAGTGGTAAACAGTTGATGTTTGCATGAGTAGCTGTAGTTACTAGTAGAAAGCTGACATTTACATATTTAGCTATATATAGTTAGTGGTAAAAAGCTGAAATTTACATGAATAACTGTAGTTAGTGGTAAAAAGCTGTGATTTACATGAATAACTGTAGTTAGTGGTAAAAAGCTAATGTTTACATGACTAGTTGTAGTTAGTGGTAAAAAGCTAATGTTTACAGGACTAGCTGAAGTTAGTGGTAAAAAAGCTGATGTTTACAGGACTAGCTGTAGTTAATGGTAAAAGCTAATGTTTACATGACTAGCTGTGGTTAGTGGTAAAAAGCTAATGTTTACATGACCAGCTGTAGTTAGTGGTAAAAAGCTGACGTTTACATGACTAGCTGTAGTTAGTGGTAAAAAGCTGACGTTTACATGACTAGCTGTAGTTAGTGGTAAAAAGCTGACGTTTACATGACTAGCTGTAGTTAGTGGTAAAAAAGCTGACGTTTACATGACTAGCTGTAGTTAGTGGTAAAAAGCTGACGTTTACATGACTAGCTGTAGTTAGTGGTAAAAAAGCTGACGTTTACATGACTAGCTGTAGTTACTGGTAAAAAGCTGACGTTTACATGACTAGCTGTA